TTCGCCCGAAACCCGGAAACTCGTCCGGCGCGGCAATCGGGCCATCCCGCCCCGGAAACCGGCCCGGAAACCTGTTGATACTGGCGAGCAGCCACCATCCAAGGACGATCCTTCGAAAGACAAGCAGCATGATCAACCTATACCCCAACCAAAGGTCAAGAAGCAGAGTGAGCCTCCTGTTGTTCTTGGACCCCAGGGCTACCCCGTGTATCCCGAGGTGAAAGAACAAGAAGATGAAGACATCATCATGTATGACGGGTCCTTTGATTTCGACAACGACATCGACAACGACGACGAGTTGATGGCCATTCTCCACAACGACTATCCCGTTTTTGAGCCCTGCCCACTACCCACAGAGGAGGACCTCGACGATGCCGCCATCTTGGCCGAGCTCAACTCTCTGTTTGATCCATCATCTCGCTTCCTCAAAGCCTACCTTGGTGAGACTGCGTTGCCGCCCGTCGATGGTGTGCTGGACGGGTTGTGGCTCGTCCCGCCCCCGGAGCGCGTCCTCCTGACGCTCCAGTCCCAAGATGCCAGCGCCGTGGCTCGCCATCCCTGGGCCGCCGCCGAGGATCCTACGAGACGCAACGACCGCGCAAACCACCTCCTGACAAGATGGCAGCGCCCTTCCGGCACAAACATCCTCGCCGCCATCCCCGACGAGCCAGACGTCTTCTCGCCAGACCTCCAGAACCCCTGTCCTCCCTGCCGCGAGCCCACGGGGCCCGACGACACGAGGGAGACCTGCCAAACGCCCTGCCCCGACCAGAACGCCGTCTGCGCGTCCCGCCACCACCTCTTTGACCCAGCCGGCCCCCGCCCCGTCTGCCCAGCCTGCGACACGCGCTCCGTGACCGACACGCTCCACGGCCCCAACCGCCTCACGGGCGCCGACATGCTCTCGCTGCGCACCTACGCCTGCTCCCACTGCACGAGCGCCGAGGCCCAGACCACCACCGACAGCAACACGACCACCACCATCGCCCGCGGCGCCCAGCACCCGCTGACGGGCTGCCTCTGCGGCACCAAGCTCCTGGGCCGCCCGCTCTGCGCCGCCCACCGCGCGACCCTCGCCGCGCGCGTCGTCATCCAGGCCGCCCTCGTGCGCGAGTGGCAGGTCGTCAACTTTGCGCCGGACCAGTGCATGTTCTGCAAGGCCCGAGGCGGCGGCACGTCGGCTGTTATGCCGGGCCGCGACACACCGAGCGTGTTCCACTGCAGCGTGTGCGCGCGCGTCGTCGAGGACGGGGGCCGCATGCCGACGCTGTTTCCGGGGTACGAGGGCTGGGCCGCCGGCGCCGGGGCCGCGGCGTTTCGGGCCAACGAGGGGATGCCGCTCGCAGCGAGGGTCCCGGTTTGGGGGGCTCGGGGGTCGGGTCTGTAGATGCGGTGAAGGGGCGGAAAGCGTCGAGGTGAGACCTGCAGAGGGGCAAGGAACTATTGATTCTCGTTCCGCCATTTCGCTGTAGTAGCAGTAGTGATGCCGTGTCTTGCTTCACAAGACGCAGGAAACCGAAGGCATCTCGTGGGACAGGCGCCTACGGGCATTCCGAGTCATGAGCAATGTGGTTTTGCCGCGTGAGACGAATAAATCCGACCATGTTTCAATCCTCTGCCGCGAACACCTTCCTCACCCGGAACGGTTGTCGTCGTTGCGTCGACCCAGAAAGGCACCCTTGGACACCCGCCCGTGACGACTACATCATGGATTTCCTCCCCTTTCCCAGCTCCGTCCAACCCAACCCCTGGACGCCCCCTTCGTCGCACTTCCTGTCAGGTACCGTCCGTTGCTGACCACCGTTCATGCAAGTTCCAACGCAAGGTAACGTCATACCCCTAAGACAAGAATAGTGTTCTTCCCCGCCGCCGCCGTCGCCACGGCCGCAAATCACCGTTCAGGCCACGCGCGCGCAGAAGTCTTGCTGTCTTGCTGTCGTTTCTTCTGTACGAACCCATGATCGTCCTGTCCCAATTTACCAGAACGGGAAAGAAGAGAGACAGAGATACACAGAGAGAGAGAGAGACGCCGGGGAACAATCCAGGATGGCGCTCGTGGCAAAAGTCCGCACCCCCCCCTTTCCAGCACATCGCCGTTCTGGAAAATCCAGAAAAGTCTATGCCCAAAGTATCGAATCCCATGCACAAGAACACGACCCCCTCCTCGTGGAACACGACTCCTCAGCCACCATGAACACACGACTCGTGGCACGCCACCTAAGAACGGGGGCAAAAAAAAAAAAAAAAGGGGATCAACAACTGTGCGGCGAAAAGGGGGGCGCAGAGAGCAGAGAGACTGGTCACATGCAAGACGCAAGGGATGGACACGCCGGACCAAGGGATAGCACGAACCATCAACAATGGAGCAGAGGGAAAGAAACAAGAGGATTTTCTGACCTGACTAAATGACCGACTTGACTGACTGTTGTTGTTGGACGACGACGACACCATTACTTCCACTACAAACACCGAGGAAAGCCATCTTTCGGGAATGGAACGAGAGGGGGATTGGCATGGGGAAGCAAAAAAGAAAGAAAAAATTACAGGAAGCTAAGGTGGGTGATAAGTGAGTGGGAGGGACACAACATGAAGAAGAAAAGAGAATGGAAGAAATGGAAAAAAACAGCCAGGTACCTCATATACCCAGAGAAAACAGACGTGCAAGAAGAAGAAATAAAAAAGAAAAGAATCAACTTGGTGGTTGGGTGAGCTCTCTCTCCCCCCTCACTGCGCTCCGACTCGGCCTCTCCGTGGCCTCGACGTGACCCAGAGACCCTCTTACATTAGCACGCACTTCGCGCAGCAGCCTGCCTCTTGTTCGCCATTGTCCATGTCCATGGGCTTCGGCGGCCCGTTGGTGCCAGAGTTGCCACCACTGCCGGTTGAGTATCCCTGCATCTCGCGGTTGTATCGTCGAATCTCGCGCACAATGTCGTAGAACGCCTTGTCGACATTGATCCGGGACTTTGCCGATGTCTCGATGAACTTGCAGCCGAACGACTTGGCGAGTGCCTCGCCCTCTGTTTGAACACCTCGTCAGTACAACTTCCAAGTCTTGTCCGAACAGCTTCACATACCCTGCCTCGTGACTTCGCGCTCGCCTTCGAGATCGCACTTGTTGCCAACAACGACCATGGGAAAGTAGTCCTTGTCCTTCACGCGCAGGATCTGTTGCTGGAATGTCGTGATTTCCTCAAAGCTCTGCCTCGAGGTGATGGAGTAAACCAGCAGGAAGCCCTCGCCCGTGCGCATGTACTGCTCCCGCATGGCAGAGTATTCCTCCTGGCCAGCCGTGTCAAGAACGTCGAGGAGCGCGACCTCCTCATCGATGACGCACTGCTTGCGGTAGGAATCTGTGGTTCATCTTGTCAGTACAATAGGTTCGCTCCCAATCAACTCCATAGGAGAGCGTCGACGGTCGAGTGAATTAACTAACCTTCGATCGTCGGGTCATATTCGTCGACAAAGTGGCTCTGGATCAACTGGGATGGTCAAGCAAGATTTTACCGACGCCACCACCACCAACTACGACCAGCTTGTATTCTCTAAGAAACTGCGGTGCACAACAGCATGTCAGTGATGCGAACCTTGGGCCGAGACGAGGAGAGCCAGCGATGCGGGTTGTGTCATCGAGGGGGATGGCTGCGTTGAGGCAGACGCAATGGAGACGGAACCTTGGAAGCCATTGTGCTGATTGGCGACAACTGCTCGCGAAA